TAAAGAGAATGATCCAAAAATAGTCCTCGATTCACCCGTAATCGAGATCCATTACAGGCTGAAAAACAGAGTAAAACGAGGTGTCGGGCCGATGTGACTTTTTGCTCATTTTATCAATTGATTTTCGATGGGCTTGAGCATGCTATTTACCTAACCTCAGTATGGATTATATGGAAAGAAAAAAATTCCAAAAAAAGTCCTCAATTCACCCATAATCGAGATCCATTATAGACTACAAAATTGAGTAAAACGGGGTATCGGGCCTATGTGACTTTTCTGTTTGTTTCATCAACAGATTTTTGACAGGCTTGAGCATGCTATTTACCTAACCTCAATATGGATTAGATGGAAAGGAAAACACTCCAAAAATAGTCCTCGATTCACCTATAATCGAGATCCATTACAAGCTACAAAATTGAGTAAAACGAGGTATCAGGCGTATGCGGATTTTCTATTTGTTTCATCAACAAATTTTTGATAGGTTTAAGCATGCTATTCACCTAAGCTCAGTATGGATTAGATGGAAAAAAAAATACTCCAAACATAGTCCTCAATTCACCCATAATTGAGATCCATTACAGGCTACTAAACTAAGTAAAACGAGGTATCGGGCTTATGCGGCTTTTCTATTTGTTTCATCAACAAATTTTCGATAGGCTCGAGCATGCTATTTACCTAACTTCAGTATTAATTAGACAAAGAAGAAAACACTTCAAAAATAGTCCTCAATTCACCCATAATTGAGATGCTGACAGGGTGAAAAACTGAGTAAAACGGGTATCAGGCCTATGTGGCTTTTTACCTAACCTCAGTATTGATTGGATGGTAAAGAAAACACTCCAAAAATAGTCCTCGATTCACCCATAATAAAGATCCATTATAGGCTAAAAAATTGAGTAAAACAAGGTAACGTGCCTATGCGGCTTTTCTATTTGTTTTATCCATATATTTTTAACAAGCTTGAGCATGATATTTACCTAACCTCAGTTTGATTAGACGGAAAAAAAAACAATCCAAAAATAGTTCTCGATTCACCCATAATTGAGATCCATTACTGGTTGAAAAACGAAGTAAAACGAGGTATCAAGCCTATGCGGCTTTTTGCACATTTTATCAATTGATTTTCGAAAAGCTTGAGCATGCTAATTACCTAACCTCGGTATGGATTAGACGGAAAGGAAAATGCTGCAAAAATATCCTCGATTCACCTATAATTGAGATCTATTACAGGCTGAAAAACTGAGTAAGACGGGGTATCTGGCCTATATGTCTTTTCGCTCATTCTATCTAAAGATTTCTGATCGACTCGATCATGCAGTGTACCTAACCTCAGTATTTAATATACAAAAAAGAAAGCACTCCACAAATAGTCCTCGATTCACCCATAATCGATATCAATTATAGGCTAAAAATTGAGTAAAACAGGGTATCGAGCCTATTCGGCTTTTCTGTTTGTTTCATTAACAAATTTTCGACAGGCTCGAGCATGCTATTTACTTGACCTCAGTATTGATTAGGCAGCAAAGAAAACGCTTCAAAAATAGTCCTCAATTCACCCATAATTGGATCTATTACAAGTTGAAAAACTAAGTAAAACAGGGAATTGGGCCTATACGGCCTTTTGCTCGTTTTTCCATAGATTTTCGATAGGCTGAAGCATGCTATTTACCTAACCTCAGTATTGAATAGACGGTAAAGAAAACACTAATGTAAATTTGTCTGTTCGAATACTCATGCCAATGACAAAGTCACACTTTACCTGTTGCATAAATGTTTTGTTCATCCTAATCTCAATACTTTAAGCCATATCCTAACATCATGCTCCATCAAAATTCACAACTCCAAGAAGACAACTCATCTAAAATTTTGCCAAGCATATAGGCTGGGAAAAATGCATGAAATTCAATATCCTAATTCTCAAAACAAATCAAGCCATCCTTTGGAACTAATGCATGTTGATCTATGAGGTCTAGCACCCATTCTTGCAACCAATGGGGCTAGGTACTACCTCAGTATCCTAGATGATTACTCAAGATACACATGGCTTTATCCTATCGCTCCAAAATCCCAGACCTTAAGATACTTTTAAATGGTTCAAAACCATGGCAAAAAAACAATTTAACAAGCCCATCTAAACCATTCAAACAGATATGGGAGGAGAGTTCATTGCCTTCTCTCATTTTCTCAAAGAAAATGGAATTGTCCATAGATTCTCCTGTCCACACACACACATTACCAAAATGGCAAAATCAAAAGGAAGCATAGACATCTTGTAGAAATTGGACTAACTCTCTTCGCCCAAGCCAGCATGCCTTTAGATTACTGGTGGGAAGCTTTCCTCACCTCTGCATACCTCATAAACAAAATGTCTTCTCCAATCATTGACAACCTATCACCCTATGAAAAACTTACCCAAAATAGACCTATTACAGCTTCCTTAGGTGCTTCGAATGTGCTTGTTATCCATACCTGAGAGCCTATAATAGACACAAGTTTGATTTCCACACCAACAAGTGTATCTTCATTGGCTACAGCCCAAACCACGAAAGGTTTATGTGCCTACATGAAATTGGTAGAATTTACATCTCTAAAGATGTGTTTTTTTATGAGCATGACTTTTCCTTCAATAAAATAATGAACAAGCTACCCCAAGGTTTGAACAATATAATAAACACAACTATTACCACCCAATTCCTAACAACCTGTAATAGCATGAACCTCGACCAGTGTGATGATTCAACAGTGAGTAGTCCACCAATGACAACTCCTCAAGTAAGTTCATCCCCTTTTGTGTCTCAAAACTATGATAACCTATCAAATCAAGCTCCAACCAGTCCTCAAGACAGTGATCGAGCTCCTACAATCAATGATGAACAAGTAGAATCTGATGAAACCATTCGAGAAAAAGCTCCCAAAAACACACACCCCATGGTGATAAGAGCCAAGGCTGGAATTTATAAGCCTAAGGTCTTTCAAGCAACTTCTTAAATTGTCCTAACTCCACATGTACTTAAGATGCTTTGAATCATCCTAAATGAAAAGAAGCCATGAAAGAAGAGTACAATGCACTATGTAAAAACCAAACCTGGACCGTGGTACCAAGAAACTCAGACACCAAGATTGTGGGGTGCAAGTGGATTTACAAAATAAAACACAATGCAGATGGAAGTGTGTCAAAGTATAAAGCAAGATTGGTGGGCAGGGGATTTCTACAGACTGCAAGGGTGGATTACTTTGAGACTTTCAGTCCTGTGGTGAAATGTAACACAATCATATCAGTGCTAAGCTTAGCTACGACACTAAACTGGGAAACAAGGCAAGTGGACATCAACAATGCCTTTTCTCAATGGAGAGCTCATTGAGGATGTCTTCATGGAACAACCAGAAGGTTTTGAACATTCAAGACATCCAAATTACACATGCAAACTTAACAAGGTACTATATGGACTCAAGTAGGCTCTAAGTGCCTGGTTCCACAAACTCAAAAAAGATCTTATTAGTTAGGACTTCAAGGAATCAAAGACTGATTCATCTTTCTTTTACTTACACCGAGGAAAAGACGTAATATCCTCTTGGTGTGTGTGGATGACATCATCATTACTAGAAGTTCAAGCCCTCTGATAAATCAAGTTGTTCAAAAATTGAAAACAAGTTTGCTTTAAAGGACATGGGAGAGTTGTCCTACTTCTTAGGAATTGAAGTAAACAGACAAGGGTCTTCAATGCATCTGTCTTAATGCAAATACATCTAAGACCTTCTCGCTAAATCCCATATGGAGTTGAGTAAACCTTGTCCTACACCAATGGTCACTGGGCACAAATTTACAAGTAACGAAGGAAAATCTCTACCAAATCCTTCCTTTTACAAAAGTATGATAAGGTCTCTACAGTACACAACAATTACAAGACCTGACTTGCATACAATGTGAATAAGTTGAGCCAATTTATGTAGCAACCTTTTGAAGATCATTGGCAGGGAGTTAAAAGGGTCCTAAGGTATTTAAAAGGAACTTTAGAGTATGGTCTTTTATACAACCCAGGGGGAAACTGTGAAATCCAAGCCTACTTTGATATAGACTAAGCTTGTGACACTGAGGATAGGAAGTCTATAGGAGGCTACTGTATTATGTTAAATGGAAATCCAGTAGCATGGAGCTCAAGGAAATAGATAGGGGTGTCCAGATCAAGCATTGAAAGTGAATATAAAGTTCTTGCACAAACTAGAGCTGAAATAACCTGTCTAACTTCCCTACTCTCAGAACTAAAAATTTGCTGTTTTTTAACACCAAAAATCTGGTGTGATAATGTTAGTGCTACAGCCCTCACTTTGAATCCTATCTTGCACGGAAAAACCAAACACATTGAGGTGGACATTCACTTCATAAGAGAAATGGTGAGTAATGGAGAAGTTGAAGTTAGATACATTCCATCTAAAGAACAGGTACCAGACATATTCACAAAACCAAGTCCTAAGGACCACTTCAAATGGATGAGAAACAAACTTAAGGTCCTACACAGAGACCTTAGTTTGAGGAGGAATGTGAAGAAAATGGACAGTGGACAAATGACAACACACCAGGGAGACAACACTAGTGACAAGTGTCTCCATCCGCCAGCTCTCTAACAAATTGAGATTTGTGTGATCCAATGTTGTTGTGCTGTCATTCTCTTATTACTGTTTTTGCCCACCAAATTCTATAAATTAAGCAAGAAGCTTCCTAAATTAGTTATGGTCATGTGTATAAATTGTTGTGTAATATGAATAGCATCTTCCATTCAAGCTTAACCACTCTTACGTCTCTCTCTCCTCTCTCCTCTGCTGCTCTTTCTTTCCTTTCTTACTATGGACAATGCAAAAAACTGTCATTTACATGATTAAGCTAAGTTCCTATTATTTATATAAAAGATAAAAGCTATGTTCCTACCAACATAGAAGAAAATCGAATCAAAACCTTTGTTAATTTTACTTGTTTCTCCAATAAATCAACTAGATGTATACAAATCTGTTAATGGTTAAATAGGGACATGGAAGCTTGTATTTCTTCAAGTGTTTGTCCCTTAGTCTCTGGCACTATCTTTGCAACAAATAGGATTGTTAAACCGCATACGCCTGAGAATATGAAAAATGTTCCTGTGTAATTGTTGGACAAAACATAATGTTTTAAAGAGTGCATTCATAACTCATGAAAATATTAAGAGTGAAAGAGATAGAACAAGGGTGTTTATTGAAAGCAATACCTGCTGAGCTCCATTCCATCATAAAATTGAAAGAGTACGAAACAATCAAACCACATGCCGCGCTAGTAAAAACCAGAAGGCTTCCGGCAGAGCCTTTCACATTTGTTGGGAATATCTGAAAATGAAGATTAGTAGCTTAGTCTTACATATAAACCATCTTGTCTTGCTACAATCTAGTCAATATTTTCCTGAAAAAGAAAAGAGGGATGTGGAATAAAACATGAAAGAGTTTTATACCTCGGACATTAATACTGTTGGTAACCCTGCCATGCCTATTTGATAAGTTGCAGTATATCCCTGATCGCAATTTACGCATCAATCAGTTCACATTAGTTGTTTAATCTGTTCTTTGAATTGGACAGAACAACTAGAGTACAAAACTCGAACAGTAAAATAGTCTTTCATGTAGACATTGTTACCGATATGCCAATGTAAACCAAAATTGGAGTGGTCTCATCCGAATAGCCATGGTCCTGTTCCAAATAAGGATTGTTTATCAATTTTTTATATGAAATGAGAAACAATACCAAATACCTAATTTCTGTTTCAAAAGAAACCTGAAAGTAGAAGGACAATCCAACAAGGAGCGAACTTAAGCACATTCCGATGCTGGAAACCTGCACAAAATCATAACTTCACCATCGACTTATTTGGTTGATGACTACCTAATGAGTAACTTAAACTGATTTTTTTTGAAATTCTAACCATAAGAAGCGACTTCTTCCGCATTTATCGACTAGGATTACAGATAGAGCAACCGCAGGAATCTGCAAAAGATTCCAATGGTTAAATGAATATGCAGAAGGCAAACTCCTACATTCACATACAATCTATAGGAATCAGATACCTGAATAATAGCCACTGAGATTGACCCAAGTGTACTTGGAAAGCCTGAAATAGAAAAATTATTCATATCATTGTCTCCTTGTTCTTTAAACTTTATCAGGAAAAAAAAAATGAAGCAACAGCATGAGCTGCTGCTAAACTCACTTGCAGCTTCAAAAATGGAACTCAGATAAGATCCAACTGCAGTCTCCCCTCCGAATTCCTGCAGTATCATAAGACCAATTCCAACCTAAACAAATAAAACAATTCTTAGACAGGCCAGACAAGTCGCAAAAGTCAAAATTACCATGTACAAATTCACTATCGGTATTCATTTTCTGTTTTGTTTACTCACAGTCACTGAATAGGCATATTTACGCTGGAAAAGGCTAAAAAATCTATCCTCTGATTGCTTCTCAAAGACCTCTGTATAAGCCTGCTCAAACAATAGAAGAACACATGTATCTAAATCAAAATTTATACACATAAAATATATTAAAACTTCAGAATGAGAAAATTTAGTTGAATTTCAATAAACAAAAGTGGAAACTTCACATTTATGTTAGCGGCCTCTTGAGAAATATTAGATTTCTTACTCCTAAGCCGCTGCAGAGTGGTGTATATTTCTTTCTCTCGACCAATAATTGCCTGCCGGAAATTTTAATGATTAAAACAGCATTTTGATTCTTGGTTTGAAAAAAATCAGGAATAGGACTCACCAGCCATCTAGGGGACTCAGGAATGAAGAATATACCAAAAAATTGCACAAAGCATGGAACAACAGCTGAAATTTTGACGACATAGAACACACATTATTCTCAATTGGAAATACCTATAATCTATAAGTAAAAGCATATGTTACCAATTAGAGCCAAGATGCGCCAGGATAGAAGCGTTCCGAGAAAATATGTTACGGAGAAGCCACAAGCAAGCATCAGCTGTATGCATCACAGAATATTTATTAACAGTACAATGAGTTGGACTTATGGAACACATTCTGCAATAGTTAAATTAATTTTACCTTATTAGCCGATGCTAATGCTCCTCGAATATTGTTTGGTGTAATTTCCGCAATATATATAGGCGCCTGCCTTGTAACAAGAACGCAAGTGCTGTTATGTATCAATCATATAAATTAATTACTATACAATGAAAATTTTATATAATACCGCATAAGAAACGATTGCAATTCCAAATCCCAGAGACACTCTTCCCAGATCCAGTGACCAAGCCGCCTTTGAAAAAGCACTTTAATTATCAACCTCGTCAAGGAAAGAAACTTAAAAGATATATAACAGTACAGTGATTAAGAATCTAAGATTTAAGGCCTTGCAATCGACAGTTGCTTATTAATTTGAGTACAATTGTGGAAAGGAAATTATATTAAACGGAAATGCACCTGGGAGAATGCTATAGCTAGCCAGCCAAAGATGAAGAAAAAATCTGCCAGCCACATTGCCTGCTTGACAGGATCACTAAATTATTAGAAAAGTTAGAGAGGCTTATAGTGATATTTAAAAATGTAACTGAGAAATTTACTCCTCTCCGACCAATGAGGTCAGTTATTTTCCCATTTATTAATGAACCTAGAAGTCCTCCAACTGCTAATACAGAACCAAAAACAGAATACTGCACAATGAGAAGAATGCAACATGTCACAAACAGGGTACTTGAGTTGGATGGCTAGTAACAAAAGGTGTAACCACAAAACTAATATATGCTTACTGCTGCTACCGAGAGACCGAGATCCTTCATGATTCCAGATTCAGCAGGCGACGAATATCCTGTCTAAGAATTATATAAAATGCAGTTATATACTTGCTAACGAAGTTTCTATTGGATTCTGACACCCAGTTGAGTGTCTCTAACTTATTATCTTACTTACTGCACAGCCATAAGAAAAGTAACCACACACGGTAATGAAGGTGCTGAAAACAACGACAGGTGTAGCGGAAGAATCAGTTTGATCAGTTATGTCATCGCCGTCGCCAATGCCACTAACAATATTTGCATGTTCAAAAATCGAAGAGCTTGGCAGCAGTCCTTCTTCCAGGTTTTCTCTTCTCATATTATCTTTTCTTGTAAGAACGTAAAAGAGAAAAAGGAACTTGAAGAATACCGCAACTATTAACTAACCGATTTGTTGGTTTTGATTCAGATTGCGTTGAAAGGAAAGGGATGAGTTGTAGAAGAAGAAGTGTGTTTCTCACACTTTTCATTTCTTTAAACTTCAATTTATACAGAAGTTTTTACCTCATTTCTTCCCCCTTTATTTTGGCCTTTTCGACATTCAGGAAAGTGATTTTTCCTAATAACATTTAATTTCTAAATACACTCATTACTCTAATTTACAGTTTTGTTTTAACTTTGAACATTTAATCTTACATAAACCCTAATCCTAAATTTTAAACCTTTTGTTTTATTTTTATTTTTATTTTTTTAATGTGCGTTCAGTAATATTGTACGGCACGAAGGGTCTTGAATTTTATTAAAAATTGAACTTTTGACCGTCCATTTCACAGTCTCCAATTTATTAGATTAAATGCTGGTATTCAGCAGATCAAGCCTTGTGATGAACCCAATGTTTGACTATGAGATATACAACTAATTATAATCGACATGTGTTAAATATGTTAATTACTGAACTTAAAAGATACTTGCAAAGTCGGTGTAAAATAAGATTATTTTTTGGCTCTAAACCTGCTTTGTGGAAGGAAAACAACTTACACCATTGATATTATGAAAGGATGAGAGAGAAATAATTATTACTTCAATGTTTCCAAGAATAGAAATTGGAAAGTAGGAATTAATTTATTGGAAAGTTGGAAAGTATGAATTAATTTATTGTAATAATTAATTTGTTGGAAAGTTTGAAAGTAGCTAGGAATTAATTTATTGGAAATTTAGAAAGTATGAATTAATTTATTGGAATAATTAAATTGCTTTAAAAAAAAAAAAAAATGTAAAGTTACCCATTTTACCTCCCAAAGTTACAAGTGTAATCATTTATTGTAAGTACGTGCCTTTTTCTTGCGTCAAATGTTTATCACCCAAAGTTGCAAGTGTAATCCCTTATTACAAGTGTTAGAACCGTTTCCAACATATTGATTTTTAACACATTTTCATACAAAGGCACACTCTTTTATCACATTTTTGCCAACAAATGAATATGCTAGCTCATATTGTGATAAAATAGTTATGGGATAACAAATGTTTTTTTTGTAATTGATCTGGATATTGTGTGTGAATAAAATAGATAGAGCTGGATAGTAAATATTTTATGTATATTGATCTGAATGTTATGTAGATAAAAAAGAGAAAGATGGATAAAAAAATGTCTTTTTTATATTGATTTGAATGTTGTGTGAATAAAATGGAGAAAACTGTAAAAAAAAATGTTTTCCATATATCAATGTTTTATGTATATGTATTCTGAATATTGATAACAAAGTATTTTTTTTTTTCTTAAATACTCTTAATCATCTTAAATCATGATTATATATATCTATATATACAATATTATGTGTATAAAGTCTCGTATAAAATGTTTTAATATATATTTATACAAGTAATCAAGTACAAAGTCTTGTATAGAATATAAAGGTAGTAAAATCTGATTAACCGAACCGTTTCAGTTCTTTTTTGAATCGAACTGGATAACCAATTCAAAGAAAAGTAAAACTAAAACTAGACCGGTTTTTCTTATAAACCGGTTTCTAACCAAACCAAATAATTGGTTCGGTTAACCGGTTTTAAACCGGTTGTTTCCCCAAATTCAAAAAACAATTTAGAAGAATAGTTAATGAATCTTACGTCTATAAATATAACAGGAAATCAATAATTCCTCTGATTCCAAAGACATCTTACAACCGAAATTAAAGATTAAAGTTGTTACCCACCAAATCAATATACAACAATATTTCACTTCCTTATACAACAACTTGTTAACAAGATGAATGAAATTTCATCCAGTAAATATGTTCAATATATTACCACGTGGGCTGCAAAAAAACTCAACTAATTAATTTTCACACAGCTAGTTAGAGTAACAGATCCTATACCACAAAATACATTTGCAGATTTAGAAAGAAAATATGGAAGAATCCATGTATGAGATCAGGGCCCCTCTAAGTAATTTTTCGCAACCTTCTTCTCACAGTTTCACTTCATTAATTCACTTTGACCTCAAATAGCAATATTACATTCAAGTATAAATAACTCTTATTATATAATTAAATTAAAATATTGGATTTGTTCTTGGTAACAAATCAAAAAACAAATCCACTGTTTTGAAAATATCTTATTAGAATTTGATTTTTAGATTTAACAATAAGAGAGAGAATTAAATGAAAGTTGAAATCATTCTCTCTCTCACCGTTAAATCATTTTTTTACTTTTTTTGATTCAGCAAGGACAAATAAGTCTTTTTATACATGGATCACTTTATAAAATATCAAATATATCCCCATTTTATCCGGATCAATTGATCCAACAAGCATTTTTGTTAGAATATATGCTAAAAACAATCTAAGAATGGCAAATTGATGGAACTCTGTGCTAATATAAATGCACTTGGATCATTCCAACTCATTAAACACAAGCCTCTTTTTCTTTCAAGAAAATAAGACACGGGGAGGGAAAGCATGGAGGAAGGACTATCACCAAAGTCCTCAGTTCCTAAAATAGAGTCAACAACTAACAGTATTGGTGACGGTGATTCTTTTTTAGAAATCAAACTTAAGAGAGAGTCTAATTTAAAAGACCGATCTGATAGAAGAGAGAGAGCTTCTAAATTTAAATACTACACTTGATAGGTGTGAGATCTCTTTATAAGATCCTAATATTGCACCCATTATCAAGAGTATGACCAATTAATTGAGTTCACCATGCTTCCGGGGCACAATCTCCAATATATTCACTAAGAGAGGATTTGGTCAAACTCTTGATAATGACATACAACTAGCTATAATGTGATTAATTATGATAATGAATGAATTTAATGATACTTACAATGTCCACGTGGGTCAATTAATGAATGGTTCACGAAATTTAAATTTAAGAATTCAATATGTATCAACATATATAATAGGATGCATCTATATGTTTTAAATTTAGAGCAGTGCTATTTGGATCAATTGATCTAGATCAAAAACTTTTTGGCTCCTAAACCATGCTTTTTGGAAGGAAAACAATTTACATCATTAACATTATGGGAGGATGAGAGATAAGTAATTATTACTTCAATATTTTCAAGAATAGAGGTTGGAAAGTAAGAATTAATTTATTCGAAAGTTGGAAAGTAATAATTAATTTATTAGAAAGTTGGAAAATATGTTTTATCTTCCAAAGTTGTAAGTGTAATCTCTTATTGCAAGTACTTGTTTTTTTCTTGTGTCGGACCTTTATCACCTCCCAAAGTTGCAAGTGTAATCCCTTATTGCAAGTATAAGAACCATTTGCAACATATTGATTTTCAACACATTTTAATACAAAGGCACACCATTTTATCTCATTTTTGCCAACAAATGAATATGCTAGTTCATATTGTGATAAAATAGTTGTTGGATAAAAAATGTTTTTTGTAATTGATCTAAATGTTGTGTGGATAAAATAGATAGAGTTGGATAAAAAAATGTTTTATATATATTGATCTAGATGTTGTGTGGATAAAAAAGAGAAAGTTCGATAAAAAATGGCTTTTTTTTTTTTTTTTTTTGAAGAATGTTGTGTGAATAAAACAGAGAGAGCTATAAAAAAAAAATGTCTTCCGTATATTAATGTTTTATGTACAAGTATTCTGAATATTGATAACAAAGTTTTTTTTTTTTTTAAATACTCTTAATCACCTTAAATCATGATTATATGTATTTATACATACAATATTATATGTATAGAATCTCGTATAGAATGTTTTAATATATATTTATACAAGTAATCAAGTATAAAGGCTCATATAGAATGGGTATGTCATGTCATTATGATAAAAGTCATTTTCTCTGTATTTGTTTAATAAAATTAGGTTGTATTAATTTAAAAAATGAACAAAAATATTAATATATTTACTGATCTCTATTCAGAGAATGTGACACATCCTTTTGCATAGATAGTCGAAAGGTATCTAGGCAATGAATGGTGGGCTAAGGGCTATGCGTTGCTCCACCACTTCATTATTCAAGTGTTCATTTATTTATTGATCTCTATTAAGAGAATGTTCATTGATTTTGTATAAGAGATCTTTTTATCCATGCACAGTCAACTTAAAATTTGATTAAGCCAACAATTGTAATCCAAGTGTTCATATTTTGTTTGGTATGGTTTTATTTATTAATAAGTGCTAATTTTCATGTTGGAAGGAAAGCATTATTCATTGTTTAATTTGGAAGGGAACTATGGAATCCGAAGAGCTAAACGCGGTATTGAAAGCAATTTTCGACAACAATGAAGATATTGTTTAAAATTGAATTTTTTCCACAAATTTCTTGATTATAATTAAACTTATAATTGTTGGCATGAGTCTAAGTGTATAATAACTCTTATCATATAATTAAATTAAAATATCGGATTTGTTCTTGGTAACAAATCCAATGTTTTGAAAATATCTCATTGTAATTTGATTTTTAGACTTAGACCATCTCCAACCCATTGCACCAAATTGGTGTGATTTTTGGTGTAAAACACTATTGCATCTCCAACCCATTGCACCAAATATCACACTAAAAGAATATTTTTTAGAATATTCTCTTTCTTTTTCTTTTATTGTAATAATCAACAATTAATCAATTTCGCTCATTATTTTTGTATATATTAATTAAATATTGGGAATGATATTTTTTTAAATAATAATTACTTTGAAAATTATACTAATTTAATACAATTAAGCCTTTATTTAATCAAATAAACAATACATTTAATATAGAAAAACATTACATCTAATATAAAATGATACCAAAAAGAAAAAAACAACAACAACACAAAAGTAAAATTCCATATTGATAACAATTTAATTTTTCGAATTAGTATATTCTTCCCACAAATGATCAATTAATGCATTTCGAAGAGCATGGTGAG